CTGATTGTTTGCTTTTAAAAGTATTCTGATACTCTAGAGGAACTGAGTTGCTGCTGGCCGTACATCAGCCTGGTTTCAACTTTTTTTTTTTTAATGTTTCGCAAAACTTTCATTTTTAAGTTTCCTTTGTAGCTAAAAAGAAACTAGCAAATGGATTCTTGCTACTGTTTTCGGCCTTTCACAATTCCTAGGGGAGGCAGAGGCTCAGTTTGAGAAATACCACTGTAAGCTTTTTTTCTAGAGAAATGTACTAATATTGCAGAGAAAACCGTGGGCGGCTTCTGAAATATATCACTGATGTTATTTGATGTTATTTTTCGTTTTTTAACTTCTTCAGAAGCTGCCTCTCCACTTCAAATCAATGACACTGATTGTTTGTTTTTAAAAGTACTTTTCTCTTTTTTCTTTTTTTTTTTTTTTAGTAGGTAGAACAATACATCAGAGAGGATCTTTTCAAAGCCTACAAGTGTATTAATTTCAGTTACTCCTAACTTTTCTCTTGGGTAGCAGAAAGGGCCAGTTCATGATTTTTGATTTGTGCAGATGCTCTTGTATCTTCAGTGGAGGAAAGTGGTAGGGATTCCCTCTTTCCACCTTTACAGCACTTTTGCCTACAACTGAGGGAGGGTCCCTACAATGTTCTTGGAGGTACAAGGTCTAATGCTATGCCTTAATGATCCTTAAATATAGATCTATGAGGTTCGTTAGTGTTTTATTTCTTGGGGGGTATGGTCTGCATAGGAAGAACAGGCAGGCACGGGTCTAAATGCATAAGCTGCAGAGCAGTTGTAATGATGACATACAGTTCTCTGTATAGGTAGTAAATCCTAAATGTAAGTTTTGTCTGGCTCTGGGATAAACCAGCAAAGTCCCAGACAGAATAGCAGAAAAGTCTTGGAACTGCAAAAAGGAAAGAAATGGATTGTTGAGTGGAAATTCAGGATTAATTGTAATAATTTCGTGCTGTTAAAACATACGATTTTTTCACTTGCTTTACCAGAGAAGGCCAATCTATTAATAATAATTTAAAAGATTTATTTCATTATTTAAGTAAAATAATTAGTAATTACTAAAGGGGGGAGTGTGTGTGTCAGGAACTTTGTTAGCAGTTGAAGAACTGAGTTAGGAAAACGTTTAAGTTTTGTACGTACTGAAGTCTGCTACCTCTAAAGAGAAAAAAAAAATAATCAAAAAGCAGTTCCTCTTTATTTTCTACCCCTGTGTTTTACATTTCTTCTGATCGGAAGAAACTTTTCTGACATGCTTGGAAAACCATACACAAGAAGTGCGTTGGTGGGGATTTCTGCTTTCCATTACAGCACGTAGCGTGAGCTGTGGAAGACAAAAGATAAAACTATACATCTCTTTTTTTTCCCTCCTGCAATTAATCCTAATTATTTATTTTATTATCACTATAAAGCTTGCAAAATAAATGGACTGAAGTTATCTAACTCCTTCCGGTGAACACGTTAGCAAACCTTCAGCTCTGCAGCAGCAGCAGGTATTTGCTACCCTGATGGTAACTGTAAAACAACCTGAGAATATCCCAACTGCTCCGGAATAAGGGCACTGCTGTCATCAAGGTATCCCTTTGAGACCGGAGCAGGGATGTGGGGTGTTTGTTTTTAAGGTGATCAGTAGTTTTTATATCACTACTTTGCATGATGATGGTAATTAGGTCACTCTTACCTTTTATGTTTTTTGATTTTTTGCTTCTTTTTAATTGTCTTCCTTTCTAGCTTATTTGCCTCAATAACTTTACAGGCTTGTGTTGCAGGATATAACCAAAGTTGCTACTTCCTAATTGTTTTTAAACAGAACTTTATTCATTATTTAACTTGTCTCACTCTGCCAAATTACTAATAACATTTTTCATTTGCCAAACCAAGGTTCACTGACATCGGTCTGTAATCCTTTAATTTTTTTTCTTTTTTCATTCAGATGCAACCAAGAATGAGTAAGTGTTCTAGACACCGTTTCTAATAAATCACAAATGCATTAATAACCCTGGAATTTGCAAGGCGTGACCTAAGACACTAACAGCCACTAGATGTAGCAACTGGTGCTTAACACTGGCAATGGCCATTGTTAACACATTCCCAGGAAATATTTTTAGGCTTATCAGGGGAAAATGTCATACATTTGATAATCGGGTCTTTTTGACTTAACTGATGACCAATTTCTTCTGGGTATTTTAAGTTGTCTGTTCCATTTTGTTCTCAAAAAAAACCCGTAGGATGTTAATTAAAAGGCATTCATTTCTGAAACCAGAAATCAGTGTCTCACAGCTGTATTATTGTGTACTCTAACACAGAAAATACACGTGGAGATCTGTAGTTCTCTATGCCCTCTAACGCTGCTGTTTGCAGTTAACTTTTTAAAAGGTGCATCCTTTCTGAACCCTGTTTGCATTCACATTTAAAGCATTAGAACTATTTATCACCGTAAAGATTCCTCTGCTTGGTTTCTTGCCAAAAGTCACTTATCTTTCCCTGAAGCTTGAGCATTCAGCTGTTGTCTGAGTTGTGTAAATTCATTCCTTCAGGTGGAAAAAAAAAAAAAGGTTGCTAAGAAGAAACCACCAGTGGACAAAGTAAAATGATCTGTTTTCTAAGTCATGACTGAAGGAGATAATTAAAAATAAATTGACATTTAGATACTGTGGGGATAAGTGTAATAAAAGTATTTTAAACTTACTAAGGGAACTCAAATTTTCATGCTCTTTAATTTCAAATCTAATTTCTTTAAGACCAGACTGAGACTATTTTCATGCATTACTTCTGCCAGCTTACCTCGGATAATTCTAGTGCTTAAGATAAACCCTGGTGTATACCTGTCTGTCAGCCCATTTCTATAGGAGAACCCATGCAGGGGGAAAAAAGGGGTGAACTCCCTATAGAGGGTAACTCAAACCAAGTACAAAATGCCCAAAGTAGAAAACAGGAAATAGTTTCATTATCTCTTTACTCTGTGCTTACCAGGAAAGTCTAATAAAATAATGTCAATGTCTTTAGCTGATAGAAGGGTTGTTGCTGAATGAGGAGGAGGATGGAAGAAGAGAAGGGGTCTGAAGTCAGCTCTGAGGCTGACTCGAGCAACCAAAACCCCCCCTGTCCCCTCCAAACAGGTTTGTGCCCGGTGAGCTGGCAGCATCCACTGTCCACCCTAAAGCCTGCCCGCATCCCAGCCCCGGACAGGAGGCATTTCCTCTTTCAAAAACGTCCTGCTTAATTGGTGGCAGCTCAGGAAAGCTAATTGGAAACGTCCATCTAAGTTATTTAAAGTCACTTTTGTTGTTTCGTATTGCTTTTTAAAGAAATGATTGATTCAAGCAGTCAGCTCCATAAAATCACCAGGCCTTTCTTTGCAAAAGCAGGCACTGTCTTTAACCATTAACAATTATACAGATAATAAAAGACTGCAATAAGTTGCTCTGTTGGCAACAGATTATCTTGATACCGGAATAAGCACCTACATTGTTCATGGTGCCAAGTATTTTGACTCGGCACCCGATGGTTGTCCCATAACTGTAAGCCTTCTTTTTATTGTTTTTATTTTTTTTTTCTGTCTGCAGGCCTTGACATAGTTAAGTCGATGATCAAAATATTGACTAGCACACCCTCAATGTGTTATTTGGGGAATTAAAAAAAAAAAAAAAAAAAAAAAAAAAAAATATATAGCAGAATGAGGAAAAAGCACAAAGGCAGGCAGGTAGTTTGGTCAGAGGTTTGGAGCGGTTCCTGTGGTGGGAGGTTATTAAATAGAGCAAATGTCTTCAGCTTTGGAAAGAGGTACCAAGCATGAGTGGAGGACGGAGAATAATATAAAGGTATGTAAAATCATGACTGGTGTGAGAACCATTATTCCTTTTTTTTTTTTTATAACTCAAAGAATGGTAGGCACGCAATGAAGCGATCAGGAAGCAGATCTAAAATAAATAAAAGCACTTTGTAGTTTTCCAGCCAACGCCTAATTATATTGTGAAATTTGTTGCCACAGGATGTTTTGGATACTGAAAGTATGAATGGGTTCAAAAAAACATTAAAGAGATTTACAAAGGGCAGGCCATTCACAGCTATTAAAGACATAGATCAGTGTGTGCAATCTCTGGTTTAGAGAGGCCCAAAGGCACCGGTGCTGAAAGCTGGAAGGGTATATCGGGACAGGGTTTCTCAATGTCTGTTGTTCTGCTCTTTCTTTCTTCTTCCTTGGGATCCATTGCTGGGTACTTTCAGATAGAAGGCTAGATTAATCTTTCTGATGTCGCATGGGAGACCATTTTTCAAGGTGGCTGAATAGTTTGCTGTTAAGAATGAGTTTGAAGAGGAACCACTTCTTTTGGAAAGTCCTTGCCAGAAATTCTGAAGTTGATGTGATGTCAGTAAAGCTTTTCCTCTCTGAACGGTGGTTAACTCCTATTTTCTTTCTGTTTTACGAGGTTCTGGCTGCATCCAAAGCCTAAAGGCTTTATCTTTTCATTCGAAGGGAAAGACAATCTTTAACTCTGCCACGCGATCCGTGTATAACTTTTATAAAACCTCACTCTCTAAGGAAACTGCCCACTTCTGTTACAGTTGAATGTGGAAGTTTTTGTCTTAGTGTTTGAAAAGAAGCCAGACTGGGGGGATTATTTTCCCCAGGTGTTACAAGGATAGAAAAAAAATCCACAAAGAGTTAAACGGAGGAGTTATGCTGTTCTACAATGCTTAAGCGTATGTTGCCACCTTGTGAGAATCCTTACATGGATAATGTCACTTTACACTGGCATCAGGGAAAATTACGTGTGTGTAAAAATGTTTTTAGGATTCATCCATTGATTTCATTTGAATTACTGTTCATTAGAAACTTATTAACCTCCACCTTTTTTCTCTTGTAATTTTTCCCTTCCCTGGGCCTCATAGAAAACAGCAAACGTCTGTGATTTTACTGAGTAAATGATTTCTTAAACTATATTTAAAACGTGATCATTTTACTTCTATGTATTCCTTTTGTCTTTTCAGGACAGCCCAGAAACTTGCAAGATCTATGCCGAATTAAAATCCGTCAGTGTATAGGCCTTCAAAACCTAAAACTACTTGATGAACTACCCATTGCCAAGGTCATGAAAGACTACTTAAAACACAAATTTGATGATATCTGATATCCATGAAGACAAGAACTCTGAGCAAGATTAGTTATATTCCAGATACTGAAGAGGCTTGTTGCCTTGCACAAAGTATATCCTATGCAAATTCTGATTTTTCTGTGAAGTCAGAAGGCAGGTATACACTTCCTTGGGTTTTTTATACCACATGCTAGAAGGTCTTAATTTTTGGTTTCTTGGTCCAAGTTTACAAGGTCCAAGCTTTCTATACAATATGACATTTTAAAAATTGCTGTTGGTTTTTTTTTGTTTGTTTGTTTTCACATGAAGTGTGCAGACTTGCAGTGTGGAGACGGAAGGTAGCCTCTCAAGGGGAGCGGTTGGTTTGAATTGGCATGCTGAGCAATTATTCAAAAAAAAAAAAAAAAGAGTTTTGGAAATCAAGGCACCAGTCCTGCAAAAGGATACTAACAGAAAGACCTTCAGCGCCCTGTTGTCTGTTGGGATTCTTGTCTCTGCCAGGGTGTGTGTGTTTTTGCAGGATGGAGGGAAGAGTTGATAAGCAACACCTCCTAGGGTACTGTAACGTAATTTGGAAAGTAAAATAAAAATGCAGTTACCCTGTTCAATTTGAGGGTCTACACATTGGCTCTTTTTATATTCTTTTCCTAATTACTGTAGTTGGGATGCCTATAAAATTCAGGCCCTCTTTTTTCCTGACATTCCCTGTTAAATGGGCGGCTATTTGTAAGTCTATTTTTAACAGTGACAGTACACTACAAAGAGGCATAGCCTCTGTATTTTTTACATTAACTTAAGAGTAAACAAATTTAGATTTTTTGAAGCCAATGTATTCTGTTTCTCATACAGTGCCTCCTGTGCAATAATCTTTCTGATGTATTTTCCCTTTATGTGTGATTCCCCCACACATTGTTCCTCATTTAGTCTCAGTGCATTATTTGTGAGAATGGGAGCTGCTGCCTCGCTGTAGTGTTGACCTGACATTACTGAAGTGAAGTGGCAGTTGCTGTTCGTTATTACTCCCTGAATTTCATGAATGTATAACCTGCTTTATTTCACTTTCAGTTGAAATTTTATCTACGGGTTCTCAGCCAAATTGTGTCCACTTAAAAAAAAAAAAAAGAAAGAAAAGAAATTGGCCAAACCCTTTTACTTTAAAGGCAGTGATGGATTTTATATTTTTTTCTTGGTTGGTTGCTCTGAAATTCTGTTTATTTCAGGTTAGAGAGTGGGAAGTGCACGTAAGTTATTAAGATGCATTTTATATGTGCACTAACGAGCCCCATCCATATTGAAAATTTAAATTTTGCGGATAATCTGAAAGCAGCAACTGAAAGGAGTACTGAAATTTGGCTACTGAATGTGTTTTTCATACTTAGGTATTGAAAAGATCTGTTAAAGAGTTTTGTTCTGGTCATAAAAAGAAAAAGTGAAGTTCTCACTATCAAAAAAAGATTGGGCCAAAATATGCAGTTGTTTCACTCTCTTTATTTTCAAGGGATTACGGAGTCATCGTAAGGTTCTTGCCAGTGTCCTCTACTTTTGTTTTGCCATCCTACCGGCTCCAGAAGAGCCTCTCTAATATCAGGAGTGCTTTTGTACCAATTACACCAATGGAAGCGGGGAGATGAAAGGAAGGGTGGTGGCTTTTAAGTTAAACACTGTCACTTTCAAAATATTTAATATTAAAAACATGAAAAGCAAGGTGAAGCAGGTATACTCATATTATTTAACTGTGCTAGTTCCTTTTAATATCTTATAACCCTGGGCTGCAGTTCCTTGAGCACAAACCTTATCACTGACAACGGATGCACCGGAACTCTGAGGAGCAAGGAGGATTATCTCTCCCTATTGTGCCTGGCATTGCATCAGGTTTCCAAACAATAAGTGATTTTGGGGATTCATGGCTCAGAGGATTGGTAATGGGATGTTGAACCTCTTTTATCTCTAGCTTGTATTGGTTCAAGTCCAGCCTGCTTGTGAAGAGTGACCAAAAGTACCTCCAACCTTAACACCACGCAGTACGAGCTGTGGTCACCTCCAGGCAGGAGAGCTTTAGGGTGCTTCCTCCAGGTTGTATTTAAGTGGTGGCCTTCCAGCAGGGACAACCTGAGAGCATGGGTGGGCTGTGGGTGTGAGCTGGTGTGCGTGATGGTGTCCATCACCTCCTACAGAAAGATCAGGCATCGTGATCTTTAAGCTCTCCGGTGCTGAGACAGGACAGGCATTAACATTGACTGGCAGGTTTAAAGTCTTCAGTTTTGTCACATGAGATCAGAACCTTAAAATTGCTTTCTCTTTTTTTTTTAAAAAAAAATAGTATTGTTCCCTACATTTGTAAGTTGGTCTAAACCAATGTCCTTCCCCACTGAATTTTTACAGTAATATTTTCTAAGGTAATCTAGAGTATATTTTAGTTGCAATCTATATTAAGGCAAATTATTTGTTCTGTCTGTTGCTGTGACTGAAGAAAATTATGGAAGACTTTGTTGGTAACATGAATGCTATTTAATGAAGAAATGTGTAATTCCATTATTTATTATTTGAGGTTTGTTTTTTGGTTATTTCTTTTGACTGACATCTAAAGGGAACACACTTACATTTCAGGCCAGTAAAAAGCCTTTCTTTGAAATTAATTTTCATCCTATCCTCTGGACCCTCCCCAAGGTGGAGGGGAGCCCTCACCCTTTCTTGCAATGCTAAGCCATCTCTTGTAGCTGGTTTCTCTGACTTTGATTCTGCAAAGCACCACAGCACCTGTGTGTCTCTGGACCTACTGATGGTAGGTCTGTCTTGAGTTATACACGTGCTCGAGTGCGAGTGAAGTCTGATTATTCATTGATAATCCTATCTCAATTTCAATAATGGGGAATTCGGTCTTTTTTTCTTTTTTTAAAATTAATTTAAATATTGTGCACAAATGCTTTGAAGAACAAACAACTTTTGTTTTTCATTCGGACTAGAATGTGGAAGGAGAAGTGCATAATATGGACTTGTTATGTAGCCTAGTTCCATTATCTTAAAATTCACAGTTGAACGCTTTTAATAAACCTTAAAAAATTGGCAAATACACCAAAGAATCAATATGAGTAAAAGACTCTGATCATTAACAAACTGCAAACCTCATCCTTTAAAACAAAGCAGAAAGTTTTTGTAAATATTTATGTTTATAAATGTACAGCAGAGTAAGAGTGTTTTTTAGATTATTTAATTACCATATTTCTAAACTATTTACATTATAGACAATACTTGTTAGTTTGAAAAGCTCTTGAGTGAGTGTTTTTTTTTTGTTTGGGGTTTGTGTTTTTTTTTTTAAATTCATTATCACTCATGCTTGGAATAACTCTGGCTTCCTTGGGATAGCGTGGAAAATTCAGTTTTCTGGCTCTGGTTGGCAATTGTAGGAGAACACATCTGGACAGATTCGGCAGATAAATACCCAAGGGCAAAAGAGAAAATGTAGCGTGCTCACCAGGGTGGACCTGGGCTAGACGAAAAAATTGGATCCTACCATTCTCAGTTAAAGCTGTCAAGAGCCCCCAATGACATTGTGACAAGAGCAACTTGGAACCTACCCACAAGTCTAGCTTCCATGCAACGCTGTGTTACCGATACCATAATGTATTTTGTTCTTCCTTTGCAATGTAAGTTTTTTTTTTGCTTTGGGTCAAATAGTACAGATCTTTTTAATGGGATTGTGCGACACAAGATTTTTTTTCCCTGTGTATGACTTTCATATATAGGCTCTCTGAACTGTCAGTGGTGTGGGAAGAGCAATGGTAGTTGCAATTAAATTTAAAGAAAGGGCTTTTCAGCAGCCTTCTTGCTTGATTCATCAAGCAATAATAGACATAAATATGTTTAATTTCTGAATTTTTGTGGTTGATGACCTTTATTAGCCAGCTTACAAGTATGAACATAATGCAGCTCCGTGACATGCAGGCTCTAAAATTTACATCAAACCCCAATTTTCTGAATCATAACAAGTCTGAAGTCTGTAGTATAGCAATACCTGCCTCTGCAGTTACCATTAAATATAAACATCTTGTCTCCTCAATTCAAAATTAAAAAAAAAAAAAAAAAAAAAGAAAAAAGTTAAACCTGGTTAAAAACCTTCTTTTGGGTTTATGTTCTGTTTATTTCTTCTGTAGTTTTAATAACATAATGCCACTTTACACATTTTCTCTCAATGTTTGTCTGTCTCTTCTACTCCTTTTCTCTTCGCGGATGCACATGACTCTGGTAATGTATTTGGTGCTCAAATTTGCCCCCACAAATGTGGGATTTCAGATGTCTCATGAATTGTAATGTGATTTCTAGCAGTAAATACGAGCATGAAACTCACTTTAGAGCTGGCCTTCATAAGGGGGAACAAACTGGTCTTTAGCTATGAGTAATTGGGTTTTCCCTGCTCAGATTCCAGTGCACCCACTTCAGGGTTTTCTGAAAGGCTCAGCTTTCCTGCTCAAGTTCATGTGCTAAGATAGAAAAATGGACCAAACAGAAGTCATATTTTGCAGTTGAATCTGTTTGGTGTCCATTTACTGCTGATAAAAGTTGGATAAGGGGGATGTCTATGAATATTCCTGGCACACAAACGGGAACTGGAAGCATTTGGTTTCAGTCATGAGAGCAATGTACACCCAAAAGTTGCAGTAAAGTTTTGGACCCTAAAAATTTGGAGAGGAAGGAGGCTAGATTTAAAGACATCACTGCTAAAGGGTAGTAGGGAGGGAAAAAAAGATGTTTTCCATTTCTCAGTAGCAAACTATACAAACATCCCTGGGCGTACGTACGCTGTACAACCAACAGTTGTGTTTAGAACTGTTGATGATGGTTACTAACAGATTGGCCAGACTCTGACTGGTGTATTTACGGAATGCTGTGTTAAAGACTTTGTTCCTGTTTATGTATCATGTTTCCTGTTTGAGTGTTCACTTGTTAAGTTTGAAACAATTAATGACTAATGTTACTACTTTAAAAAAGAACCGATTTACAAGCTGTTGACAAATGACATGTTCAGAATACACAGTCTTTCCCTATATTGGTATAAGTGTGCGAGAAGGAAGAGTACGTATTTTATATGGCAAAACACTTTATTTACCATAGTGTTTAAGAGAAGTTTTGTACCTTTGAAAGCAGAGGGGATAGAGCTGATGAAAGTCAGCAAAGAACAGGCTCTGCCTTGTCTTTCCCCAAACAGCCTGGGTTGAAAGCATCTAAATTCTCTTTGCTCTAGTTTCTCCCCTCTGCTTTGGTGGTTGGGGTACCACCACCTCAAAGGTTTTATACTGTTCTTTGGAACTGGAATAGTATTGAGAGGCTAAAGTTTGTGCTTTTCCTATGTCAGTGGCTTGTTGAATCTCTTCTGTATCATTCTGCTTCTTGACTTAATGCTATTACTCAAAGTAAAGCTCAACATATGATTTAATCCCATGACAATAAGAAACAAACCAGATACATACATTGCTTTATGAAACCATGCTACCAGGATTTCCTCAGCCAGTGCATTCCCTAGGGATCCACAACATGCAGCTGGAACAGCAAAAAGTTGGGATTGAAAGCTGCGTTGACCTTTATTGGGGAATCTCCAGCTGTCTAGTGAAGAAATCAGAACTCCAGCTGTTTCCTCCACATCTGGGATCTCTAGTGCTGCCGACTGCTGTTTGCGAGGTCCCAGGTAAGTTTTAAATACTGTTAAGGCTTGTCTTCATGTTTGCAAGAGGTGTATTTGACACATCTACAGAGGAGATTGCAAAGGGTCTGAAAGCATTTCTATGCCTTCTCTAAACCTGCTAGGTTTTTCTGTATAGTGGAGTTTGTGCAGTCTTACAGCTAGTGTGTTTGAGAGTGATGGGTGCTACAGAGAGGATTTCCCAGACTGACTCGATCTGTTGCAGTGTGTTGCAGACCCCTCAGCGTCCATGAAATATTACTAAAAGATCTGGGAAAGCTGAATGAAGAGCAAGCTGATGGGCAGTAAGTTATGCAAGGGTAAATGCTTGTAAAGGAAAATTTAAGTCTGTAAACAACTGCTGTACAGCAAAGAACATCTATTCTTTGTTGAAAACCACAAAATTGGCCATAACTCTTCTGTCTTGACTTGCAAAAATAGATTGTTTGCAGTCTTATTACTCTCCAAATGTATCAGAAGATCATCTCCTCCTGTTCTGTCGCAAGTAACTAAGAGTTAATGGATGTGTTATACTAAATCCTGTCCTCATTTCTGACTTAGACCATTGTAACTTCACTGAAGGTGGTGGTTACTCAACATTTAATCTAGTGTGAAAGAGGAAATAATTGATTTGGATGGCCAGCTTGCAGTCCTGCTCCTTGCTTTATGGCCTAATGAGGAGACTATTTTTGGCAAGTATTTGCAAAACGCTGTGAAGGAGAACTAAAAGAGATTCTGTAGTTGGGGCCAAATCTATAGGCAATCAGTAGACAATTGGGTTTTTTCCCCTAAAAACATGGCCTGTTCTGATAGAGTTGCTTAAATGCTTTGATACCTAGTTCTGAGTAGGTAAGAGACATTTCAGTTTGATTGTCTTTTTTGCATCTTGAGAAACTTAACGTATCTGCTTATTCTCTAACATGGCGGATTAGTCACAGTAGATCTGCAGCAAAATGTAAAGTCATTTTATTTTAGAGGCTTAATTAATTTTAAAGCCATTACAGATTAAATTTTATATACGTCAGTGTAACAGCACGTTTTTTGCTGAATGCATATTTGCTTGCAGCCAGCAGTCTGCGGTCACAGCGTGTTCGGAATACGCGGTTGCGAATTTGAGTAGCATCTTGTTGGCTGAAAGGGTTAGAGCTGCCCTTGTCACCGACACATCCATGGCCAAGATAAGGCTGGGAAAAGTTACATGTCTGTCCTGTTCCACTACAAGCCAATTCTGTGTAATTTTTAGGTTCTCGTCTGTTACTACCTGACTACAGCCTTTGCATGGGATAATAGATATTTAGATTCAGCTTCCTCTAGTGCTTGATTTTTAAACCTCAGAGGGTGCCCAGCTGCAGGACATGGGTTATTGAAACGTGGCTTCCAAGCCATGCCTCTCTCAAGCAGCTCAACCTGAGAGCCATCCCCTGGCAATCTGGATATTTCCCATCTCGTAATGGGTTTTAATATAGCTATTAGGAAGCAAAATCAAATAGTTTTTAGAGAGCAATCAGTCTGAAAATAAAGTGACCGGGATGTTTGGTAGGAGGATGAAGTTGAGATGTGGGATTGTGTGTGAGAGAGCAGAAAATGTGGCTTTTGATCTTAACAGAAATGTTTGGTATGTGGGTTGTTGGGCTCAGAAGTTTGAATGTCCTTAATATAAAATAATCTGCATGAGTATTTGAGTCTGTTCCTTTTCTACTCTGTGTGAGCTATTTAATGGTTAGTGAGCCAGAAAAAATCACTGTGTTTTCTTATGGTTGAGGCCCCCTCCTGATAAGTGGAAGACTTGAATTAAAGTTCCCACTCTGAACCAGGCAAAGCAATTAAGGATGGGGATTTGCACTCGCGTTCCCACCTTTTAGTGCTGTGATTATAGGCTTGTAAAATTGTGCCAAGAGGGAGACTGTAACAAAATTGTTACACAATCTCCGAGGTTGACCCTGAAAAGTCATTCACAGCAGGTACCCAGCTGGATGGAGCTCACCCGTATGTCTCTTGGATGTGTGAACAAACCTGTGATGCTCGTGGGTTTTATTTTAGTCCCTACTTATCTGTAATCTACGTGGAAAAAATAATTCAGACCTCTTCTGGTTCCCCGAGCACCTTACCTGGAGCTCTGGTGGTGTTTGTATTTATGGGCACCCACCTACTTCCAAACTCTAGTCTTTGATATCAGTGCTGACCTTCTCTTCCTCTTCACAACCTGTTCTCCACACCAGGTCACTGAGAAGGGCAGGGAATGAGACCTTCCTCACTCTGAAGGAGACCACCCAGCCAGGTGGATTGAGTGGTGGGATTTCAGGTGTCATGTAGGAGTGACAGTCACCAGTCCCAAATCTAGTGCTTGGCAGTGCTCAGAACCACCAAGGAGTGGATGGGGTGATCTCTGCAGGCATCTGAAAAGAGGGAAGGAGTCTGGGTGAAGCATATGGAAGGATATTTAGGCTGAGTCCAAAAAGAATGAATACGTATTTGTGTAAGTTGAGTGTGTAATAGGGTGGGCAGCTGTACTGGCATCGAGGAACATGGACCTAAGATTGTGTGGTTAGAAAAATGGGATATGATGAAAGCAGATACAAAGCAAATGTTAATTGAGGTGTATAGAGCAGGATTGAGAAGGGGAGGAAGGATATTGTCTGAAATACATTTACTTTTGTTATTTTGAAGTGTGCAGCAGCTTACACCTCCAGCTCTTTCATCAGAGAACGTACCATCAGCACAACTTTGGGATATTGTGGATGTAGTGTGTCAGTCTTAATGCCATTCCCTCAGCCCTTCGCCTGTCTCGGGCATTAGTTTCCTGCACTGCCAGCCTCTTCTCTACCATTTCCTCACCATAGGAAGGCAGAGTAGCTTGAAGAGGAACAGTGGTGAGGAAGAGGAGACTGGGGATGATAATTAAGGTGGCAGTGATAATTGTAATGTGCGCCTCGAGCAGTGACTGGGGGGAGAAAGATTATTTTTCTTCTTTATAAAATCAAGATATCTT